CATCGGGGGATTGCACAAAGGAAGCAAGATTTGAGCAGCAGAGCAGAGGTCAGAGGGGATTCTTAGGTATAGGGGACGCCTTAGGAGAAAGTAAAGTGCTCTGAGAACTTAAATAAAGGGGAAGAAAATTATTTCTGATGAGACTTATCCCCAGCTGTTATTAATCTGCACATGGAAGAAAGTGGAAAGTGTTCTGCCGTCTCCTTCAAGCTCAGCTGATTCCCGTAGCCTGCCAGTGCCTCCAGCCTGTGTGGGCGAAGAGGCATGCAAATTTTTTTCTTATGCTTTTTCAGGGCTCTGCATCCCTATTTCAGAAACACTGTTGCTTGTGTAGAGTACCTAAATTTTTCAGAAACTACCTTGAATTGGCGCTCAGGCAGACGCTGCGAGGGCAGCCCAAGCAAAGCTGTGTACACAGTGCTGGAGGGTGGTGGGCGCTCCAGGTAAGTGATGTTGATAGGTACATTCTGATTGATGGGGGAGTTTGTCTCCCAAACTGTCACAGGGTTTATAGAGGTGCCACTCAATACCAGTGCTGGAATTGCTTGTCAGAGCACCTGGCTACAAGAGCAATGGGGATTGGAGACAGAGCTGTAACTTTGTTTTTTCTCTGCTTAATGGCCCTGGCGTCTGACCTGCCTGCTCGCTCCTGTTTGTCTGGACCTTAAGGAGGCAGCTGGGATTAAGACTGTCAGAGGCTTGTGCTGCTTTAGCATCAGGAGACTAATTGTATCGGGGCTGGCAGCGTATGACAAGCAGTTACCTCCTATGAAATGCACAGTAAGAGAAAAAAAAATTCCTCAACAAGTAAAGGGAAATATATAGGAGAGTTTGTGTTTTGTTTTTGTTCTCTTTTCATCTGAAAGTAGTGTTTTCAGATTCACATGTGGAATTACGTTCTTCAGGCCTTCAATAACTCTTCTTATAAGTCACAGCTGCTCCTGCGAATAACAGCAGGAGGATCCTGTCTCTTGTGAATTCCTAGGTCAAACTCACAACTTAACATTCAGTCATTGGATTTCACTTTATTAACACGTTGGGATAAAGTTCTGGTCCCAAGCATTGACCTCTGGATAGCAAGACTGGCTTTAGAGGTCCTCTCTAGGCAGCACTGCTGATGGCCGTGAATTACTGTGTGACCTTCAGAAGCCGAGCCTTGCTGGAGGAACCCTTCCCTGTTCTCAGTGCACGCTGCAGAATTGCAGGTCACCGGAGGGTAGTGGTAGGGGGTCTTCTGGAAGCTCCCGTTCCCCTCTAGCAGGACCAGAACAATGCCGTTCCAAAGGCCATTTTATTCTACTCGATGCCCTCTGCGCTCCATTTCACATTTTCCTTGCCCCTGGATAGCAGTGTATGCCGCTGGCAGGAGCTGGAAGTTGTGAGCCCTCTTTACACTTGGGCTGAGTTAGTGAGAAGCAGGTGTGATCCTATCAGGCCTTCCTTGCATTTAGTGGTCCTCTTAATCCATTTTTAACAGCACTTGTCCAGAAATCTGGTTTGAATGAGCCTGAGATGAATGAATAATGTCAAGCAGTTCAGACGTCAAATATTTGAACAGCTGCGAGGGTGTTTTCACTGGCTTTGTGCATGGAAGCAACCCCAGGAAGTTAGACAAGGAGGGTCAGGTCGAAATTGTGGCACCAAGCCCCAGCCTGCCGGAACTGGCCTCAGAGTCCATCCCTGCTGCAGATGAAAGGGCGCTAGGATGCCGGTGGCTGGCCGTTCGCTCTGTGGGTGATGCTGGACCGAGCTTTGCATCCTGTTCTTTGGTGTTTTCTTGCATGCAGTGGCAGTACTGGGATTTATGGACCTTTTGATTCACATTGGAAGCATGTTTTGTGGATTTTGTTTTTCATTTTTTTTAAAGCAGCCACTGAAGTCCTAAAACTCATAGCACAGCTTCTATTCAGAGTCTTTTCTGTGTACATGGAGGATACTTTGTTTAGCATACAGTTTCTGAATTCGTTTTTTTTTACCATGGTGCAATGGATTGCACTTGGTCATGTTAAAAGAAATAAAAATTTTTAAAAAGCCATATTTGGTGAAAATTTGAGTTTAATCACCTTATTGCGCCTTCCTTTAGGCCCTGGCCTGGGAGTCCTTGTTTGATGAGATTTGCCTTTCTTCTGCCCCTCATCTTAACCTATTAATTTCTCTGCTGTGTCTTCCTCTCTGACTGAAATGCTGTATCAGATCATCTCGGTATGTATCTGTCATAACAGGTAGTGTCCAAACCCTTCCTCTATACCCTCCTTGTGTAGGGGGGATAGTACTCTGTTGGGAATACAGTCATTGCTGCTATAGAGCTAGATTCAGCAAAAGGTCTGTGGAGTATTTTCTTTACAGACTTAAAAGGGATTTTCTTAAGCGCGAAGGTTTTGAGAGCAAGGACACAGGATTCTGAAGTCAAGGTGCCTTAATATTTGTAAATTGCATCGCAGTAAGCAGATCTTCTTTTCTTAAGCTCTGACCATAAACTACTACTTGGCTTGAGTCACTTGGAAACAAAATTGATGGAAAGGTGCCTGTTTGCTGTGTGCTTGGCATCCTTGCAGAGAGAGGGACACAGTGAGTGATCCTGCTTATGTTCACTCATTTGGACACCTTCCCCCCACCTCCCTCCCGAAGGCACTTGCTCCAAGTATTCATTGTCTGGCTAAGATTCAGATCACCTCTGGGACTGGCCAAGTCACAGCTCCAGCTTTGCATGATTTGTGTTTCCCATAGCTACAAGAAAAATGAAGACCTGTGTGTCCAAAGTTTATGGCCTTTGAGAAGTGATGGGCTAAAGTAATGCCAGGTGCCGGGGATGGTGTTACTGCAGGTTAAATGCCATACCTGTAAATTACCACCCCATTGCCCACTGTGACTTCTAAGGCAGCTTTGAAAGACTATCCAGCTTCTTTGACAGGTCTCTCTTACTCCTCTAAATCTCCTCCCAAACATTGTGATGAACCGAAGGGTTCAAGATTTACTAGATGAGCCGTTGTAGCAAGAGAAGGCGGGTCGTGACATGTGTTGGCTGGCAGTATGCAGCCATGGTGTGAAACACTTTGTAAGGGTCTGCTGGAAGAGGGCTGCCCCAGTGATACCACAGAGCTGACCTGGGAGCATGGATGGCTCCTGTGGTACCTGGCGCAGACGGCGGGTGCTGCATTGTCGACGCTAGTTTTGTTACCTCTGCTGAAAATTAAGGCTGGCAATTACTTTGAAGTAAAAGGTAGTTTACGCTTTTAGGGAAAGGTTAGTCTTAAAATCATTGCCATGCTACGATTATCACTCGTTAAGGACCTTCTTTATATTCAGGGAAGAGAAATATCAAATCCATATAAACAAATTTTATTGGAGGCTTAATGAATTGGCGAGAGCATCCGTTCCTAGAGAGTGATAGTAAAGAACTGTGTCTGCATGGTGTCCTTGGAAATGAGGCCTTCGCCTTGCCCTGCTCTCTGCACAGATGCAGACCGTTAGAAATATAGCTCACTCTTCTGGGCTGGGAAGGTGCAAGTTTGCTGCTGACAGCACAAGCTTGTGTAAGTGTGCTGGTGAGAGCCCAGTGGGATGAGCAGACTCAGACATCTGTAGCACTAGAAGGGCTACCCTAATGCTTGGGAGTGTCCTCGTTCTTCAGACTTGCACTTCATATTCGGTGCTCCTACATTAATTTTAACCTGTCTTCTGCACTTAGAACTCCATTCACAGTGCAGAAACGTACCACTTTTGGGGCATTTGTGCAAAGCCAAGGCTACCTCTGCCTTACTCTTTCAGTGTTTGCCAGGGGGATGCCTCAGTCTAGCCACAGACTTAGGTCACCAGCCATCTGGATGGGCCGGGTCCTTCAGGCTCTATCAGGTATGCTCTGTCCGTGAGCCAGATGTCCAGGTCTGCCGTCGGGACAGTGGGATGTGAAGTGAAGGAGCCTACTGGAGGTAGCCAGAGTGAGCCAGTTTCTGTCTATGTAGCTTATGTCTGCAAACAGCTTAGATTTGCTGCAGAATTGAACACAAATGAGAATCTTACACCACCCTAGGATTCAGGAGATCTTTGCTTCATTTCCAGTTTTGTGGGAGAGAACGTGTCCAATGTTAGATCACATAAAATGTAAATATATGTCTTCCTTAGTTTCCGTTAATATACCTTAGGCAGCAAATACCATGTGAAGGTTCATCTTCATAGGTGCTTGCAAGCAGGTTCAGCTAAAAGAAGCCTTGTTACAATCAGCAATAACACAGCCAACAAAATGCTTGAGAACCAAAATAAATGTATATATTATTAGAAAATGGCACTTGTTACACAGTTCAGTCTTGGATGTAACTGTTTACTCTTGCTGCTGGAATTGAGACTGGGTTTGTGCTTGATCCACTCTTGTTGGAAGTGCAGGACTCTTGTTGGCTTGCTCTGGAATTTATTCACGTAAGAAATGCTTGTAAGGGGCTGTTAATGACTGTGGAGTCTGATCTTTTTCCTAGAAGAGGTTTGCTTTTCTTAAACATTTTATAAATCTAAGCCATGACTAAATGCATTAGGAAAAAAAAGGATATTTCTAATTTTATTTTAGCCTCTCTCTGCTCTATGCACCTGAAGTAAGGACTAATTCAGAATGTCTCTGTGGCCTTCTCTTCCCTGCTAGTAGTGCAGGTTTTGTATTAACTACTTCTATGAAAAACTGGTCTTCTCTATTTTGCTTCAATTTTTTTCTGCCTTTGAGAGAGATGCTTCCAGTGCCTTCAACTTTCAAATAATTCATATAGAGAGCAAAAGTTCAGAATTTCATTTTCAGTGTTGAGGGGCATTTTAGAGCATAAAATCCAGCATTCATTTCTGTGAGTGTACAATCTTCAGAAAATTGTCCTTGTACAGTCTTTAGAGATGGTACCTTCTGTGAGGCTGTTAAGAGTAAAGGACAGCCTACAAACTGGTTCTGTCCAACCATACTTAGGAGATCTCCTTCACTTTGTCTCCCATTCAAATACTCATCCATATGTTTTATTTTCTTCCAGGTTCTGGATTTATCATGTGCAGCGGCAAGGAGAATCCGGACAGCGACGCTGACCTGGATGTGGATGGGGATGACACACTTGAATACGGGAAACCACAGTATCATTTTTTGAAAGGTCCTAACTGAGAGGGAACCTGGAGTAGCATCTTCAGCTGGCTTTTGTACAGCACTGTCCCGGGTAGTGGTGGATAATCTGTGTCCAGCCCTACTGGAAATGGCATTACCTTCCCAGTTTCTGTATTATTTGAACTAGGAGGGATTCCCAGTTGCTGCTTTTGAGATCCTTCTGTTGCTGCAGCAGTATTTCAGACCCAGTTGGTGAAGTCTGAAGGAGACATTGCAGTCTCTTGTCTCTATCTTCCATATGGATAGCTTTTCTTGCTTCATGGGCAGGAATTTAGTTTATTTTCCACAAGACATCCCTTTGTTTTCAGAGATTTTGTGCAGTAGACATTTCAAGCCAGTTAGGCTTGCAGAACTTGAGGAATTGGTTTTCCCCTTCTAAGAAACTGTGGCATCGTGTTGCTGTCAAAAGACTTCTGTTTCTTTCCACCTAAACCAGAACTTTAATCCAGGATTTAAAAGCAAGCCCCTCTTGAATACTAGTCCCTCTTCTTTTGATGTATTCCCAGTTGAAATGAATTTGCTCTGTATCCCAGATAGTGTCCCAACCATCTCAAAAGCTTTTCCATTGTCTGCAACAAGGCTGTATGTTCCTTAACTGCTTGTGCTCAGGTACACAGAAGCAGACATTATCCCTTGCACTGGGGAAGAGCCAGGTGAAGCCAAAGAGAGGGAGGCGCTCCGAGGTGCTGTTTTAAAGTAAGTACTGTGCCTTCCTAATTTACTTTCATTACTTTTAGGGAATCTCAATTTGTGAAAAATAGCCATTCACTTGAGTGTAAGGGTTGCAACGAGAGAGACTTACAAAGAAGCATAGTATGACCGACAGGTCTCCATTTCTACTCATGCAGCCTCATAAAGCCTCCGTGCACACTCTCCCTCCCTTAACCACCCCACTGCCCAGCCAGTGCCATCTTCTCCCTGAACAGCGCTGGACAGAAGGTGAATTCTGGTGATGGGGAAACTAAGGCCTTGCACATCATCTTGCTTCATGATGAAAGGTGGCCTCTTAGTAGTAGTATAACAATGCCATCCAAAACTAATTCAGCACATTAAAAGTCTGGCACCCAGAGTATGATTTCATTGCATCCCATTGTGTGTTGTGGGTTACACAAACTGATCCTTCTGCATTCAGCTCTGGGACTGGGGCAGCTCAGGGCAAGATGAGTGCTTTGCCCACATACATGCGTGGAGAATGTAGGCAGCCAGCATTCAGGGCACTTGGGGAAGTATTTCAGGCAAATAAAATGAGTCTTAACAGGGAGCTAGGATTGCTTTCTAAGCCCTCTGCCCTGTATAAAACAGGGCCTAAATTACCCCTCTATCTCTTTCACTGAGTGATCCTCTGAGGTCAAGGTTGAAGTCACTGATAGAGCAGTGAAATTAAGTTTTCTTACTGCTTAGCTTGTCACAAACACTAGTTTAAAATTAGGTTCCACTCCATAGCAAAGTGGCATTTGCCACACTAGATCCAAACCATTGATCTGTTCAATACTTTGCTAACCATGCTAGTCCGTAGGCAGGGCCTCAAAGATGCTGAAGCTCCTTCACGGCCAAGTCAGTGGTACTGTAGCAGGAGAATATCAGGATATCCCTTATCAGTGGCTGTGGACGCTTAGTGCTTGGTGAGATGACTTTGGAGCCTGAGGCTAGGAGACCTGGTTTTCCTTCATGTATCTCGCACCTAACACGTTGTGCTGTTTTGGCAAGGTCCTTGAACATCTCCCGGACTTGTTTGCCCATCTTTAAAACAGGAGAGATGGTGTTATTTGTAAAAGCACTTTGAAATTCTGGCAAGTTTCTGTAGAAGTGCAGTGCGGTAACTGATGCCCTGAAGCATAAGCCTACATTACCTTTTGAGTGGATGGAACTGTCTTAGCTCATAGAGCTAAAATGTTATGCAGGCACAGGTGTGGAGCCTGCTCAGAAGATTCCTTTCTCTTGCAGTCTCTGTTACTGGCTTGCAAGAGAATGGACAGGGTTAGGAGTTGTCTGTACTTCAGTGCTGCTGTTCTTCACACGGGAAGATGGAAAAGATGGGGCTTGTGAAGATGTAAAGTTATTCTTAATGGGAGAAGCTAATGCAACACAGGGGATTTCTGCTCATGGCTAAAGTTTTCATCTTTGAAATTGTGTATTCAAAAATGAGCTGTAGGTCACAGGTGCTGTTTGAATCCCAAGTCTTCAGTCAGCATCACAACCCCAGTGTGATTCAGCAGAGGTCACAGCTAGAAGCGCAGGTTGGGAGAGCGCTAGTGGAAATGTGGTCTAGCACAAAACCACCTCCTGCAGCAGGCCAACCGCTCCCATTTTGAAGCTAGATTGATGGATTAGAAGTATTGAGAGAAGTGGGTAGCTTTTCCTGAGCAGCAAAATTTTCCATATTCAACCTTTAACATTGTGCCCTTTTCTCTTCTAGTGGTGGCACACCAAGTACTCGAATAACACCGGAGTTTTCCAAATGGGCCAGTGACGGTGAGTGTTCAACATGTAAATCGTTAATTTGTGTGCTACAGGAGGGCAGATAGATATTTGGTACCTTCTGATTGCCGGTAATTAGGCAAATGGTAGTTACAAATGCTCTTGTGTGGTACCAGCAGATATGTATGCACATACTATCATGCTATCTTTTTGAAACTTTACAGCACAATTTACTGTAGTCGGTGGCGTCTGGGGGAGTTCCCAAAAATGCAACATTAACTGTTATGGTGATAAGATACAGGGGTTGGATTGACTTGCTGTCATGCCACTAAAAGACAAGCTGCTGTATCACGGAGGAAGCCATCAGGGCTTCACTATGTGATGGTGGTGTTCAGCTGCTGGGGGTTTAAACTACCTAAGTACCTGTTGCTTCCCCCCCCTCTGTCCCCAGCCCCCCATTTCTTATCATCTTCCCTTCTTTAAAAGGGTGTGCTAGAGACTTGTACAGTGATCTGCTGGATTGGTCTTGTCCTTGCTGGCCTCTGTATGGCAAGAAAAACCTGCAGCTCTGAAGCCTGCACCTTTTGAGTTGGAATTTCAGGATCTGTCGTACTTCTTGACCTATAGTTGAGACTCCAGAGCAAACGAGTGAATGTGAAATCGTACCTTTGCATACGTTATTTGAAAGCTCATAGCATGAATGCGTGTGAGGGGGTGTTAGACCTATTCGATTGCTGGGGTTTTTTTTATTTAATGCCAGCAGCACTGGAAGTGTAAGCAGCAACCTAGTAAAAATATGAGAATAATAAAACCTGGCGCTTTCCAGCTGTTGATGCCAAATCCATTTCCAGAGCTCGGCAGTGCTGCTTCAGCTCCCTTAGGAAGGGAATTGAAGCTCAGCGACCTGAAGAGACTTGTCCCAATGATTTTGTTCCCTGTTCTGTGACTGTAATGCTTTGGGCATTTGATTCCCAGCCTTGAAAGTACCTACAAGATATAACTGCTTGCCAGTAGGAGGGGGGTGGGTAGAACCAGTTTTGCCAAGGGCATGATGATTAAATGGAGAGCATAGGATATCTATTGCAGGCATTTTCTTCTGTAGGATAGGCAATCACATTTATTTTCTGTGATGTAGGAGCACTCGCTTCTAGGTGTGTTCAGCTTCAGTAAATACAGCCACAGAGGTGATGAGGAAGCAATCCTGATGGCATTTGCTACGAGCTGTTTTCTTCGTACCTTTTACCTGAAGCCATGGTGCTGAACCTACAGCCCAGGGGCTGACTCTAGGACAGTTCATCTGGTTCATCTCTGACTGGTATCTCACATCCCCTCCAGTGCTGGGAGGAGCCATGGGACTGCTGGTAGAGGAGAACTATGAACAGTGGTCTGTCGTAGTAGTTACCTGGCATATCTTTTTCTCCCTCACTCTGTCTGAGGGGTCTCAGAAAAAGGGAGAAGCTGAGAGCAGGGTCTGGGCTCCAGATCCACCTTTCTAGAAATACACTTTGGTGTGGCAGCTGCACCAAAACTTTCTGAATTATATCCTGGCTTAAAACAACTGGGACATCTGGAAGGGTCAGTCAGTATGTTCAGCCCCGAATCATAGAAGCATGCCGTACAGAGAGAATGCCCCTGTGTCAGACAGGGACATGTAGCATTGGTCTCTTCTCTTTCTGAGAATCGACATGAGAGTGACTCATCGGGGTCCTCTGCTTCCAAAACTGAACTTGCTCAGACTATTTCATTGCAATGGTCAAATGTTCTCTTACTAATTTGCCTGTTCTTCCCTCAGCAGAAATGCCCTCAACGAGTAATGGTGAAAGCAGTAAACAGGAGACCATGCAGAAGACCTGTAAGAACAGTGACATTGAAAAGTGAGTGTAAAGTGGATAGCTTTCGGGGGTTTTTTTTTTTGTTTTAAGGAACCATAGTGTCCCATCCAGTGTTCTAGAAGCAGTGCTAGTCTGAGGGTGGGCATATTTGAAGCTTTTACCTCTGAGAAGGGAAGTTGTGCTTCAGCATGAAGGCTGGACTTGGAGCTGTTGGTGTCCTGACTTGCTGCTGCTGTGTTCACAAAGGGCCTATGGGGATTTGTCCCTCTCCCAGATATCTGCATGGGCAAGTAATCAGTGACAAGCGGTTGAGCGTAGCTTCCGAAGGGCTTCTCCACTGCAAATGACCTTCTTTTAAAATACGCAAATAGATATATCCATGCTTTCCACCGTATTCTAGTTATGGTGGCTTTTCAAATATGTTATGCTGTGCATAGCAGCCTAGACTAGAGCTGGGACTTTGGAGAGGAGGTGAAGATTCAAACCCACTTTAACCTGACAAAAGCAATTGGCTTGTCAAGCTGTACTTTGATTATTTGTTTATTTCCTCCTGCAAGATTCCTGCTATCAATGTATCACGGTATCCTGCTTTTACTGGAGAAGTTACCTTATCGTTGCATCTTGGTTTTTGAGGGCAGTCCTTCACATGGTCTTTGTTCTGTTTTCTCCATGGTACCAGCATGTTCCGCCCTCCATCTCTCCAGCAAGAGGGAATCCCAGCAGCCCCATAACTTCGCAGAAACCTCACTGAGAGAATTTCTTTTCCCTTAAGGTCCAGATTTCACTTTTGTGTGGTTGCTAATAGAAATAACATCTCAGTTCCTGAGTTTTTTACCTGCAGCCCTTCCAGTTGATTCAGGAGTTTAAGTCCCAGTGTTTGAATGTACAATAGTGGAGGGGCACCTGACCATTTCCTTTCCTGTCCCTTTCTGCTCACTGCATATTCTGTAGCCTGGTCCAGGATAGAAACAAATGGTTTTGTCTGCACTATGCATTGGAGTAACAACCTCTCTCCTCAGCCTCCTTAAATACACTGCTAGGGAGACTTACTGCTTCAGCAGATTTGATGATCCAAGCCTAAAACTACTGTCTCCTCACTGCTGCTATGGACTGCGTTAATTGGTGTGGGGCAGTGTTTTAAGTTGATTGTTGCCTGACATGTTGCCCCAAGATGTAGTGAGAGACAAAACAGCTTGAATGAGATGGAAGCAATGAGATAATTGTGGGCATTTACATTTTGAGGATGAGGTCCACTGATAATTTGGGATGGGGAAAAAAATCTGGTGTAGCGTTAAGCTGACTTTACAGAAAGTTTTTTTAATGTAGTTTATGCTTCTTCTGGCCCTGGTCCCAACTTGAGAGGTTGTGTCCTTGGCACATTTCGGGATCTCTGACAGTTCAGGCAGCCTGGCAAAGCGTATGTTCACAGTCAGGGGCTGACTGGGGAAACTCCCTGCTGCAGAGGGAACTTTAAGACTGCTTTGCCGTCTCGGCACTTTCGTTTTTACAAGGCTTTTTATTAGCATGTCCCAAATGTGGGCTGTCTGCTGTTGGGTGCTTCTCGGTGAGCAGACTTTGGCCAAGGACTGCTGAGTTTGAGCGCTCACAGGTCAGTGCAGAAGTAGCTTTGTCCTTAGAGCGAGCCAACCGTTGCGTGCTGTCTTGGTGGCAAGGACTCATCCCTTCTGCCCTAATCTATCAGCCTCTGTCTCAGTCGCTGCTTGGCTTCCCTTTGGGCCTCCTGCCTGTCAGCCCAGCAGCCCACCACCCTCCCAGATCCACTCCTATTGAAAATCTTTAAACTGCAGGAGCTGAAAGGATTTGACATTTTCCAGAACACTTGAGCTCAAGTGATAAAATTGACATAGCTTTAATAATCTGATCAAAGAGGCTTTAGCTAGCACCTTTTGAAGGATCCCAGAATCCTTTCCAAACAACGCTCGTGCTAACGCTGCTGTGAAGCAGGGGGAGCGTGTATGTGTGTGCGTGCGTGTGCCCGTGTGTGCATGCACACCTTGCTCCACAATAACCTTGCCCTGCTAAAGCTTCAGTTCTGCAAACGGTGCGAAAAGTCAGAAAAACCCAATAGAAATTACACGAGAAGCCTTAAGCGTCTTGCTGAGTCTTTCCAATAATGTTGAGTTTTTTTAAAGTAGCAGGGGAAGCTTTTTATTTAAGGCACTTTATTTCAGAGGTTCAGAAAGGAAGATGGTGTTTCAGGTGGAGAATTCCTAGCTGCTTTTTTTTTTTACCTCTCCTTCTTTCCTTTGAGATTTGTGTGTGATAAATAGTTTCTGTCCCGCCATTTAAGGAGCCTGAGTGCTCTGTGTGCTTGTCTGTGCAGAGGGGTTCTGTTAAATTAATTGATAACAGGGATCAGAGCTAGAAGCCTACAGAAAAGGAGGGGGAAGGGTTTCACACTGTCTGGCTGATTCCCACTCCACTGCTGAGCCATGATATATGGCGACCCAGCCCAACAGGCTAAATTGATTCATCTCTAGTTCCTGTTTCTTAATCTGGAGCTAAATTGGTTTCATTTTTCTTGTTTTGGGTGGCGCTTACAGGAAGTTTTTGGCAGCATCACTTTACTCCATTGTTTGTAACTTTAATTTTTGCCTTTAAATCTGAGCGTTATTGATTGGTATGTTAAACCCTGTGTAGCGTCTGATTAGCATTTTTAAAAGTGTCCAGAAGCACATGGCTTACCACCTGTGTCAGCTGTGCTCTCCGTTTAGAGCAGCGGCTAATAGAGTTAGCAGCAATCCACATATTGATCCTTCTCTCATAAGGATGACATTCCTTCCCCCTCCTCTCTTCCAAAAATAAGCCTAGGCAGGGACAGCAGTGTGGTTTTGTTTGTTTGTTTTTTAATTCGTTAATACAATACAGCAAGTGGTCCTCCTTTTGGCATGCAGCTGAAGCTCTTTGCTTGAGCAAGTTAATTTAATCTAAACTTAGGTTTTTGTGGAAGACTCTCTTGGATGTAGCATGGCTAGGTGGGGTTTGGGGTAAGTCTGTGTTTGTTGCCCTGCTCCTTGTGCCGTGCCAGGTCATCAGTAGCTTGGGCAACCTCATCTGCATTGTGTTGAGCTTCAGATGGCAGCCACAGGTAACGAGAGATGTGGTGCTGGTCCCGCCTCTCCTTCCCAGTGCTGCAGGGCGCCTCAGCCCTGCTAAGCATTTCTAATCTCACCAACATGAGGTGTCTGGGAGACACCCTGGGGTGCTGAATGCTCATGGGGAGAGGTAAATGAGCATCCCCACTCGTGACTGGGGTCTTCCACAGACAGGCAGAGCTCAGCTGGTGTGATGCTCCTTTACCTCGACTCAAGATGCAGCTTTGCTCGGAGAGAGCAGCCAGTGCTTAATTGCCCAGGCATCCTCCTCGACTCCTCTGCCGATGTCACACTTTCAGCCAAAGCACTGTTGTACACACAGAGCTGCAAAAAGCACCTTTCCCACAAAAAGTCTTCCTCCTTCCTGAGATGCTGCCCACGAGGGTCTGGTGCCGGTTTGAAACTGAGGTTCCCCGGGGTTAAAAGCCAGCATCTTAATTCAGAGTGCCAATGTTCAATTTTGCTTTCTGCCACCAGACTAGATTGCAGGCCAGCAAGAGAGTCTGGGTTAGTGGCCCACTGGGTCACCTCCCATTTGTTTTCCTCAATTTTGTGTTGTCATAAATTCATTCCAGCCCGTTGTGGTTGATCAGTTTATCTCCGCCGGGGCAGGGAGCGCTGCGAGCATGATATATGGCACAGAGCATTGTAGCCAGCCTCTCCATGAATCACTCCAGCTGTTTGGTGTCAGCCCCAAAGCAAACAGGACCCGGCCGCTGAGCGTTGACTACGATGAGCTCAGTATGGGAAGAGACATGACGTATGAATGTTTATTTAATAATTCTCTAATATTTCCAGCGGAGTGTGGCTATGCCTTCTGGGGGGGGTGAGAGGAGGGGGGAGGTTGAAGAGGGAAACTCTAATCTGTTGGGGTGGGTCATAAATCAGGCAGACAACATCATTAATCAGGGATGGGACAGAAGTGGAAGGAGGTGGGACTGGAACTGCCATCCTCAGTGGGAAGGGGGCTGTGCTCTTTTTTTCGTAAAACAAATCTTGTTTCTGATTCTGCTTGGCCCCAGCCGCGCTGCCCACATAATAGCAAACCCGGACACAAGGCTGTTTAAGTGAGTATGCTACCTCCGCTATAAACCTTGCGATACGAGCCTGCCAAGCATTAAATCCCTTTATAATTATCTTCTTTATATAACACTTCATGCTCATCATGCTTCACTGGATGAGACGCTTGTTGGGTTAAAAAGAGGGTTTTAGAGACAAAAAGCAATTGTATTTGTTTTATTTTTCTTGTCTCCTCTTTCTTCCCCTTCCCCCTCCCACCTCGCCTCTTTCCAATCCAGCTGTTCGGAAAGCATCAGCTGCAGAGTTGCTCTGGCGTGGCAGCACAGGAAGGAGCATCAGTTAAAATTAAACAAAGTTTAGGTTTGGTGCAAAGGTGCGAAAGTTTAGGTCCTTGTGCAAAGTCAAGCATGTGAGAGCAGGCAAGGAGGTAGCAGTGTCTGCCGTGGGGACCTTGCTCCTGGGCAGATGGGTTGAGATGGGAGCAGAGGGGCTGTGAAGCCAGAGGATTAGCAGAGGCTGAAGGGGAAGGAGCCACACTTCAGCTGGTATGTCAGAGGGAGACAGAAGCTGTTGTGAATTCACACTAGAGGATAAGCACTCCCCAGCCCTTCCCCGTAGTGTCATACCATTAATAGGCTTTGGTGGGAGACAAGAACATCATATAGCAAATATAGAATTAAAAAACTAACTCGAGTCATAAATGAACTAACCCTTTGTGCTCTGCTAAGAGACAGCAGGATGCTGGTGGTGGGTCCAGTCCTAGATCAGCTCATGTTAACTTGAGACAGGATCCAGGAAGCTGAACTGGAGCGTGGGATCGTCAAAGCCAGGCTGAGAAAGCGCTGCCGGATTGAGTGCTGCCTGTGTGCAGGTTTGTCTGTGTTAGGTTTTAGTCCTTCGTTTCAG